AAGGAGAAGTGCTCACTAACACAGATTTAGACAGATTTGTGAACAATACTTGAGAGAGAAATAGGCCTTTTGTGTAGATAGAAAAAGTCGTAGATCTTTGAGGTCAGCTCATGAAACACAAAAGCATTGCGTTTATAATTTTGTTCAGTGTAGAACAAAATCAATGCAAAAATACTTCAGTTGCAGACCTTGCCTTCCTACCATACTCAATTAAGAAAATGAACTATTTCAAAAACATCACAGTCTCTGCAACTCTGACAGCCTGGTGGAAAGCAAACAAAACCACTAAATCATCATTAACACCATGTAGATACACTCAAATTTGGCATAACCCTGACTTTCACCGTCATAATAATCCCATCTACTTTCCAACATGACAACACAAAGGAATCACTCACCTTCATCATCTATTTGAAAATAACCAGTTTATACCATTTAATACATTAGTCCAGATGTACGAAGTTCGGAGAGGAGAATTTCTCCAGTACCAACGGTTAAAATCCATAATTAAATCAAAGATCAATATAATCAGCAACCCCCTGCAACCTTCCATGCTAGCTGAGGAGATAATGGAATTTACAAACTCAAAGAAGATAATATCTAAACTAATATCAAATACAGATACAACAGTAATGACTAAATGGGAAACGGATTTGTTGCTCCCCCCAGCCCCGACTTCTGGACCGAGATCTGTAATAATATCTTTTCCATGACTACCAATATAAACTTACTGCTTGTACAATACAAGACTATTTACAGGACTCACATCACAGAAGGTAAAATGTTTAATTGGTTTCATTGATACAGATACCTGCTTACAGTGCACTCTGGATTGCACCAATGAGTACTTTCATGCTACTTGGACCTGTCAACCCATTTACTCCCTCTGGGTAGCGGTGACTGAGAAACTCTCCACCATCTTGAGCTGTAGAAACCCCCCATCCCCATCACTCTGCCTGCTGGGTAATGTCACAGAAGTTGACCACCTACCAATTAAATATAAAACCCACTTCTTATCTCTCTATCACCAAGAAAACAATCTTTCTAAACTGGAAATCTAAAAATTCATTACACATCAACCAATGGACCAACCTTTTTATAGAATATATCACACTAGAGAAAATATCATCAAGTCATAAGAATAATATACCAACCTTTACTGACACGTGGAATCTATTCCTAACCTCTTTTAACTTAAACCAGATAACCGAGGCCGAGGCCACGCACATTCCCACAAACTCCTAGAAATATAACTGCTTTTTACACTATTATTGTTACTGTTATTTTCTTTCTTCTTTGTTATTTTATTACTACAATCATTCATTTTTTTAAATCAAATTGTCTTTTCATTCCTTTACATTTATACCCCCTCTATTTTCCTAAAGTAATGAATATCAGTCTACATAGAGTTGGATACACACACTACACACTTTCACACACACAACTTAATACCCTCAATTAATAATTCCTTTCCCTCTTTTGTTAATGTCTGTTGTCTCATGAACTATGTTATGTGCTTTGCCCTATAAATGTATTATTTTGTGTTGCAATAAAAAAAAAGAAATGTTATGAGTCAGTGATGGAAACCAGATCTTAAAGGAAACGGACCCACCATCTGAGGGAAGGATGACCTCAGTGGGATGAGAGCACAGAAGAGCTGATTGGGAAAACGAAGATCTTTTGTGATCCAACGCCACATGAGTGAGTGGAAGAAATCTGACGTCAGTTCAGTTCCCAAGACAGTATTACAAAATACACTGCAATATGATATGCAGAATGTAGTGCAAAGTGTTCGGTGTAAAAGAATGACAATGATATGACAATAAATCTCCTCTCAGTCCTTGTTTTCCTCTCCTGTTAGAGAAAACTAAAGTCTTTAGCTGGACTTGGTATTTTTCCTCAAACTCTGGCCCCTCAGTAACATTTAATGACCAGTTGCAGCAACTTCCTGAGGGAAAAACTGCATGATCTCAGTGTTTCAGGTGAAAATAATAAACAGCAATGAACACACACACACACACACACACACACACACACACACACAAAGGAAACAGAATGACATTCCTTTCCCACACAGCAGTACAGTGGTGTTTAACTGCTTATGATTATTCTCTGGATCACAGTGTTCAGAAAAAAAAATACTGTATATATATGGTTCACGCACTGGACAACAATCTGCAATACTCAGCCGGGTTCAAAAAAAGAAAACCCTATTTTGATGTAGCAGCACTGATTTGTTTTGTTGATGCACAATCTTTTCTGGTCCACAGTGTGGACCACTTTCTTCAAACAAAAAACTCCTCCAAATGTTTGCCTTTGGAAAAGGCTTTACAACTGGCAATAAAATAGACTGCTTACAGATTTGAAGCAGCTGTCACTTCAGCAGTACTTGACACGCCCTTCTCATTTCCTCCTCCATGATCAGAATCGCAAGAGTACTGATCACTGGCAATCATGGACAATCTCTTACATACCGTCACTATCCGGTCGCTGGTGTGAAGTCTACTACAGAGCCATACATCTGTATATAGAGACTGTTATTATAGTCAGAGGTGTCTATATTTTTGTCCTCTCCAGCTAAATACATGAGAGGGTCAGAATAATAAGAACACCTCTAAATATAATGTCTTTTCAGTACAACATCACCATGACCTCAATAATGAACATATAATTGAATGTATATGTTTATGACAATTTTACCAAAAACTGAAACATTTTGAACTTCATAAACACTAATATTAAGGTGGAAGTGTTGCACTGAATTGCATACAATTGTAAAGGTGTACATAATAAATTGGCCGGTAAGTGTATTTAAGGTAATATATAGATATACTGTATTTATCATTAGTTTGGCACACTGATGGCCAGCTCATCATATGAAAATGAGACATCACAACTCTGGTATCTTGGAATATGTTGCAGTTAACCATTGCTATTAAGCATAAAGTATGGACATAGTCAACTTTTTAGCTGATGCAAAAATAGCTCCACCACCAAAGTAGTGTTCTGACTAACAGTGGAACCATCAAAACAAGTGGTCAGTAATCACAACTGAGTAATTTATATATTTTTTATACATATTTCCAACACAACTCTGGCGGGCTCCTGCACGTTTTAACTTTTGAATAGAGCAATCAACTGTCAGCAGTATGGAATATGGATAGACTGAAAGTGTTAAACTGAGAGAAGTAGTTGTAATTTAAGTACTACTACTATTACTACTACTTGTAAGCTAGTAGTTTACTGTTTGGATCAGTGTCAGTGTTTGAGGCAAACTTACATGTTTGCTTTTTTAAACTTTATAAGGGGGTGTGTTCAAGCTGGAACTGTCTCATAAAGCTGTAACAGACATCATGTTTCTGGTTATGATGAATGAAATGGTGATCTCACTTCCAGTCATAGTTCTCCTCCTCAGACCAACATTTTTTAAAATTTGTCATAAAACTTGGCAGTAACACATTATTTTACAGGTTTGTCATTTCCTTATAATTTACTGAAAATTCCAGCAAAAAGCATGTAGTTCAGTATTAATTACAGAAGAATAGAGACAAAGGTCTAAGGTCTGTTGTTTATTATTGGCTTCCTGATGAATTTCCATGAAAAATGCTCAGTACAAACCCCAGTTAATATTTAGTGTTTGTATTGTTGTTTGTAGACACATTTGTCCTCTGAATAAAAGCCTCAAGTTTGTGCTAGCTTAGCATTTAGAAATAACTGGAAGTGTACCAACTGATAACTCTCGAATTGTACAGTACCTGTAATTACTAGCAAATTATATGGTTCCTTCCAGGAAACTTCTTAAGAGATTACTTAGAAATAAGATGGAATTTACAGACCTGTAAAATAAAACTATTTGGCTAATTTCATGTAATCCAGTGTGTGTCTTGGTTTTTTTTTAATTGTACTGTTTTTTCCTATTTGAATGTATTGTATTCCATAAATTAATTTTAAAAAATGAATGTAATAATAATAATACTAATGCTTCTCCGAGTGGAATGTGTAGAGGTAAGGTCCATCCAGAACAATCAGATGGTTTGCTAATTGCTGCCAGCTCTGCACTGCTCCAGCATTCCCACACAACTGCTCTGTGCTCTGTCTCTACAGTATCTAAATGGATGTTTGTTACACCTTTCTGGTTGACCCAAATGCTATTCCTTTAAATAGATGATTTTAGAGACATCACTGATTCCCACAAGAATTCAAAATAACAAA